TGTTTGAATAATGCCCTGACTTATTACATAAATTGTTTATTCTGTTCAGGAATTTCCCGTTGTGAGCGTGAAGGAGAAGATTCTTGCAAGTGTGAGAAATATTTTGAAGGAATCGCAGGACAAAATTGCTCAGAGGGACGTCATAATTGCGATGATTCCAAAACCTGTTACATGAACCACCAATGGCATGCATGTTGTTTGAACGAAGAAGTCGGCGCAGAAGCAGATGTCCAATTACTAGAGGAAAACGACGGTAGGGAAAGGTTAAATTTCCCTTTTTTGCTTTTGCTTGCTTTGAATTTTTGAATAATAACGACTTATCGACCGAGCGTGAGGTCTGTACTGTGAAATATCAGACCGAGGTTTCTTAGTATGGACCAAGCGACGAAGCAGCAAGGTCCATGCAAAAAACAGAGGTGTGAAATTTCACAGTACAGACCGAACAAGCGAGGTCAATAATCGGTTCATTATTTGACTGAACTGTCTCTGTGAGCATATGCTTTTCGCGCGAATTAAATCGGCTATCGTCAGTTTCACTGGGTAACAATATACGGTAGGCATGCATGCTCAATCAAAAACAATTTGAGTGTTTGAAATTTTATCTGTAAATTTTAATGACACACAATTGGAAAATTAAAAGGCAAAATCTTTTTCTGTTTGCAAAGCGAAAATTTCCCGCCAGATAAACGATATCCGCGACACCTGTCCAGATACGGAAAATACGGACGACGGTCCGGATATGGGTTTTTACGGACCGCTTGTCAACCAATCAGAATAGAGAATTTTGAAAAGCCATATAATACTACTTATTATATAAATTGTTTATTCTGTTCAGGAATTTCCCGTTGTGAGCGTGAAGGAGAAGATTCTTGCAAGTGTGAGAAGTACTTTGAAGGCATCGCAGGACAAAATTGCTCAGAGGGACGTCATAATTGCGATGATTCCAAAACCTGTTACATGAACCACCAATGGCATGCATGCTGTTTGAACGAAGAAGTCGGCGCAGAAGCAGACATCCAATTACTAGAGGAAAACGAAGGTAGGGAAAGGTTAAATTTCCCTTCTTTGTTTCGCTTGCTTTGAATGTTTGAATAATGCCCTGACTTATTACATAAATTGTTTATTCTGTTCAGGAATTTCCCGTTGTGAGCGTGAAGGAGAAGATTCTTGCAAGTGTGAGAAGTACTTTGAAGGCATCGCAGGACAAAATTGCTCAGAGGGACGTCATAATTGCGATGATTCCAAAACCTGTTACATGAACCACCAATGGCATGCATGCTGTTTGAATGAAGAAGTCGGCGCAGAAGCAGACGTCCAATTACTAGAAGAAAACGAAGGTAGGGAAAGGTTAAATTTCCCTTCTTTGCTTTTGCCTGCCTTGCATGCGCATGTTTGAATAATGCACTGACTTACTACATAAATTGTTTATTCTGTTCAGGAATTTCCCGTTGTGAGCGTGAAGGTGAAGATTCTTGTAAATGTGAGAAATACTTTGAAGGAATCGCAGGACAAAATTGCTCAGAAGGACGTCATAATTGCGATGATTCCAAAACCTGTTACATGAACCACCAATGGCATGCATGCTGTTTGAATGAAGAAGTCGGCGGAGAAGCAGACGTCCAATTACTAGAGGAAAACGAAGGTAGGGAAAGGTTAAATTTCCCTTCTTTGCTTTTGCCTGCCTTGCATGTTTGAATAATGCACTGACTTACTACATAAATTGTTTATTCTGTTCAGGAATTTCCCGTTGTGAGCGTGAAGGTGAAGATTCTTGTAAATGTGAGAAATACTTTGAAGGAATCGCAGGACAAAATTGCTCAGAAGGACGTCATAATTGCGATGATTCCAAAACCTGTTACATGAACCACCAATGGCATGCATGCTGTTTGAATGAAGAAGTCGGCGGAGAAGCAGACGTCCAATTACTAGAGGAAAACGAAGGTAGGGAAAGGTTAAATTTCCCTTCTTTGCTTTTGCCTGCCTTGCATGTTTGAATAATGCACTGACTTACTACATAAATTGTTTATTCTGTTCAGGAATTTCCCGTTGTGAGCGTGAAGGTGAAGATTCTTGTAAATGTGAGAAATACTTTGAAGGAATCGCAGGACAAAATTGCTCAGAAGGACGTCATAATTGCGATGATTCCAAAACCTGTTACATGAACCACCAATGGCATGCATGCTGTTTGAATGAAGAAGTCGGCGGAGAAGCAGACGTCCAATTACTAGAGGAAAACGAAGGTAGGGAAAGGTTAAATTTCCCTTCTTTGCTTTTGCCTGCCTTGCATGTTTGAATAATGCACTGACTTACTACATAAATTGTTTATTCTGTTCAGGAATTTCCCGTTGTGAGCGTGAAGGTGAAGATTCTTGTAAATGTGAGAAATTCTTTGAAGGAATCCCAGGACAAAATTGCTCAGAAGGACGTCATAATTGCGATGATTCCAAAACCTGTTACATGAACCACCAATGGCATGCATGTTGTTTGAACGAAGAAGCCGGCGCAGAAGCCGATGTCCAATTACAAGACGAAAACGATAGTAGGGAAACGTCAAGTTTTCTTTTTTTGTTTTGTTTGCGTTGCTGTAGTAAAAATGGCGGTTTATTAACGTCAGTGAGTACAATTGAATGATACCCTAAATTATGAGCTACTTAAAAGATTTATTTTGTTCAGGAATTTCCCGTTGTGAGCGTGAAGGAGAAGATTCTTGCAAGTGTGAGAAATACTTTGAAGGAATCGCAGGACAAAATTGCTCAGAGGGACGTCATAATTGCGATGATTCCAAAACCTGTTACATGAACCACCAATGGCATGCATGCTGTTTGAACGAAGAAGTCGGCGCAGAAGCAGACATCCAATTACTAGAGGAAAACGAAGGTAGGGAAAGGTTAAATTTCCCTTCTTTGTTTCGCTTGCTTTGAATGTTTGAATAATGCCCTGACTTATTACATAAATTGTTTATTCTGTTCAGGAATTTCCCGTTGTGAGCGTGAAGGAGAAGATTCTTGCAAGTGTGAGAAGTACTTTGAAGGCATCGCAGGACAAAATTGCTCAGAGGGACGTCATAATTGCGATGATTCCAAAACCTGTTACATGAACCACCAATGGCATGCATGCTGTTTGAACGAAGAAGTCGGCGCAGAAGCAGACATCCAATTACTAGAGGAAAACGAAGGTAGGGAAAGGTTAAATTTCCCTTCTTTGTTTCGCTTGCTTTGAATGTTTGAATAATGCCCTGACTTATTACATAAATTGTTTATTCTGTTCAGGAATTTCCCGTTGTGAGCGTGAAGGAGAAGATTCTTGCAAGTGTGAGAAGTACTTTGAAGGCATCGCAGGACAAAATTGCTCAGAGGGACGTCATAATTGCGATGATTCCAAAACCTGTTACATGAACCACCAATGGCATGCATGCTGTTTGAACGAAGAAGTCGGCGCAGAAGCAGACATCCAATTACTAGAGGAAAACGAAGGTAGGGAAAGGTTAAATTTCCCTTCTTTGTTTCGCTTGCTTTGAATGTTTGAATAATGCCCTGACTTATTACATAAATTGTTTATTCTGTTCAGGAATTTCCCGTTGTGAGCGTGAAGGAGAAGATTCTTGCAAGTGTGAGAAATATTTTGAAGGAATCGCAGGACAAAATTGCTCAGAGGGACGTCATAATTGCGATGATTCCAAAACCTGTTACATGAACCACCAATGGCATGCATGTTGTTTGAACGAAGAAGTCGGCGCAGAAGCAGATGTCCAATTACTAGAGGAAAACGACGGTAGGGAAAGGTTAAATTTCCCTTCTTTGCTTTTGCTTGCTTTGAATTTTTGAATAATAACGGCTTATCGACCGAGCGTGAGGTCTGTACTGTGAAATATCAGACCGAGGTTTTTTAGTATGGACCGAGCGACGAAGCAGCAAGGTCCATGCAAAAAACAGAGGTGTGAAATTTCACAGTACAGACCGAACAAGCGAGGTCAATAATCGGTTCGTTATTTGGCTGAACTGTCTCTGTGAGCATATGCTTTTCGCGCGAATTAAATCGGCTATCGTCAGTTTCACTGGGTAACAATATACGGTAGGCATGCATGCTCAGTCAAAAACAATTTGAGTGTTTGAAATTTTATCTGTAAATTTTAATGACACACAATTGGAAAATTAAAAGGCAAAATTTTTTTCTGTTTGCAAAGCGAAAATTTCCCGCCAGATAAACGATATCCGCGACACCTGTCCAGATACGGAAAATACGGACGACGGTCCGGATATGGGTTTTTACGGACCGCTTGTCAACCAATCAGAATAGAGAATTTTGAAAAGCCATATAATACTACTTATTATATAAATTGTTTATTCTGTTCAGGAATTTCCCGTTGTGAGCGTGAAGGAGAAAATTCTTGCAAGTGTGAGAAGTACTTTGAAGGAATCGCAGGACAAAGTTGCTCAGAGGGACGTCATAATTGCGATGATTCCAAAACCTGTTACATGAACCACCAATGGCATGCATGCTGTTTGAATGAAGAAGTCGGCGCAGAAGCAGACGCCGAATTACTAGACGAAAACGAAGGTAGGGAAAGGTTAAATTTCCCTTCTTTGCTTTTGCCTGCCTTGCATGCGCATGTTTGAATAATGCACTGACTTACTACATAAATTGTTTATTCTGTTCAGGAATTTCCCGTTGTGAGCGTGAAGGTGAAGATTCTTGTAAATGTGAGAAATTCTTTGAAGGAATCCCAGGACAAAATTGCTCAGAAGGACGTCATAATTGCGATGATTCCAAAACCTGTTACATGAACCACCAATGGCATGCATGTTGTTTGAACGAAGAAGCCGGCGCAGAAGCCGATGTCCAATTACAAGACGAAAACGATGGTAGGGAAACGTCAAGTTTTCTTTTTTTGTTTTGTTTGCGTTGCTGTAGTAAAAATGGCGGTTTATTAACGTCAGTGAGTACAATTGAATGATACCCTAAATTATGAGCTACTTAAAAGATTTATTTTGTTCAGGAATTTCCCGTTGTGAGCGTGAAGGAGAAGATTCTTGCAAGTGTGAGAAATACTTTGAAGGAATCGCAGGACAAAATTGCTCAGAGGGACGTCATAATTGCGATGATTCCAAAACCTGTTACATGAACCACCAATGGCATGCATGTTGCTTGAATGAAGAAGAAGCTGCAACAGAAGCCGTGCTCCCAACGGTAGAAGAGGATGATATCGAAGGTGGGGGAAGGTTTAGTTTTCACTTTTGGCTTATGTTTGCGTTGTTGAAGTATAGCGGCTGTTTTTAAACACTTAAAAACGACTTAAAAGTATGCGAGTTTGCTGAATAACGCCATAACATATTACATAAATTGTATATTATGTTCAGGCATGAAGAGAGAAATCAAAATTGAAGACGAGGCTCCAGCAGACGAATCCTACAGAAGACGTCAAAGAATTGAAAAGATGGACTAAACACACATATATGTTCTTGAGACTAAGCTAGTGTTTATATTCAAACCGCGTATTCTTATAAGTATTCGCAGTTGGAATGAAACTGCAACTGAATTACAGTTGAAACTAGATTTTGGATGTTTAGATAGATCCTGATGAAAATAAAACTTTTACAATAGAAATTTTTATATCGATCTTTTGGATGCGCATTTTCAACTACGAGCTGGTGGCCTATATAATTCATGTTAATAGTAAATTCGTCTCCGCGTTGTCATTAAATGTACTTTCCTTCACTATTCTATATTTCTACTCGATTTCAACCACGTTTCGAGGAAGTTATCTTAAGAACCTAAAAATTGCTTTTTACTCTGTCAGCCTAACAACAACGTGATGTTCTACAAGTCTGAAAATGGGAAGGGTGCGTGCTTGAGAATGAGAGGGGGGACATGCTCGTGAATGAAAATACCTTGGAAGAGATGTGTTTCATGTTACAGTGGTTAACAAACAGTGAGTGAATAACGGCTACGAACAATATCGTGGATCAAAGTACGTATGCTTTATACCCGTGAAATTTGCGAAAGGTAAATGTTCCATACGAAAGATTTTGTAGCTTTCACGATTTTGTTTTGCTTGAATGTTTTACAACAAATCTTAAGGAACAAGACGTTCAAAATTCACTTTTCAACGCGCGGTTCCCAAGTTCGTTGCGATGGGAGCATGTGCCCCCCCCACTTTTTAAAAAGTGAAAAAAGTGCCATTTTTCTGGGCTAAAGTGCAAAAAAAGTATTTCTTGAATGAACACCCTCTTTTGCTGGAAAGAAAGTGCCCTTTTTGCAGTAGTAAAGACTCTGTAATAGCCATTTCCGGATCCGACGTTATAGAGACTGGTTCGGCTCGTGAAGGACATCACGGTCTTTTGTCCTTGTCGGTCATTTTGACCATTTAATAGGATTTAGTTGGCATTAAAAAGCCATAATGCTACAATGCCATAAAAAAGCAGTTTTAAATAAACGTTTTAATACTTGGTTAAAATATAGTATAATTTATTAATAAAATCTATGTATTTTATAATTACTATAATTTATAGAAAATATAAATTTTAGTAACTAAAGGTCTTAATTTACCTCAAAACTTAGTGTTATGCAGGGATAATTTGGGTAAAAACTGGCAGGAACATAATGGATAATTTGGGTAAAAATTGGCGGATGACTAATATTCTATCTTGTGGCTGTCGACGAAGAAATCCACCTCATATTGGACATGATCATGCCAATGTATAAGATTCTCGAGTGTTTGTAACTGACATTTGCATATTTTTAGAATCTCATCTGCATGTCATTATACTATATACGGTATAAGAAATTGCATTACAACATCAAAATCACATTTATTTATTCCAAGATCAAAATTATTTAACAAGCACCAATTTAATTCTCCGTCCAAAATACACGTAGGTAGTAAACATGGACTGGTGCTATGGCTATAACTCAATGTACCCGGTGAAGAATCCGTACTTTTCATGGCATTTGTATCGGAATGGACACTAAAATTTGTAATGTGAACCATATATTAAAATACTGCCTACTCACCGTTTGTCGTGTTTACACAGTGGACGCAATCCACTTTTAGATCGCTGCAAAATTGCTTCAAACCACAAATAATAACATACAACGTTCGTCCTAGATATCTCCACCCACCCCCTTCGTGTTGGAAACCTCTTCCACAATCCGACTCAGCCACAGAGTTTCTATAGAGTTAATAAATGTTTCTGTGTTCATATACAATGTAATTGTGTGGTCAAGTTTTCGACTTGACATATATCCAAGTTCACTGAACTTGAAGTGAAGGCACATTCCTAGCAGTCTTATCTTCTCGGCAACGTTGCCATCCTTCGAAAACATTGACGCCACATTTTGTTTGTATCCTGTATTCTTCGGAATAGTACAGGCAATCAAAATACGCTGTACCAAAATGCGTCTTTGCAAAAAAATTCAGCCTATTCTATAGCTGCAAATGACAATGGTCTATTAACGATAATTGGTCTGTCTATTCGAAGCGCTTTATCAAACAAAAGGAAATTTAATCCCAAAGCACTTATAATGATTTCTTTCACATCTCATCAAAACGTTTATTATACAGGGTGTATAAAAAAAGGAGACCTTTAGAAATCAAGCATATTGTTAAAATTTGAATGCCTTTTCAATTGCACATAAGCTGAACCGTGGTGCGTGAAATATTGATGGAGTGCATATATTAGAAAAAGGAGACCTTTACAAATTAACCATTGTTATAATTTGAATCCTGGAGCACTTTGCTAAGCCCACGAGTGCGTAACATGCGATCTACGTACAGTATGCATGGCAGATTGTTCCCAGGGGCAGACAGTCTTTTGTTTAAACGTTATTTCAATTTCTAAAGGTCTTCTTTTTTTATAACCCTGTACGATATATTCATTTCACAAGTTGTTTATTCGGCGAGTGATTATACAGTATATTCAATACATCACGGCAGCTCGTGCTGTAAACAGTACTATAACATATATTGCAACACCTCCGCATTAATATTTGAATCGGTTTGGAAAAAACTGTAGCCTGTGATGCCTGCATTTACTACATTATTTCCGTTATTTTCCGTAGCTATAGTATATTGGGTTTTACTTGAATGGAATAAATTAGTATAGGTACTGCCCCGTCCCTCGTCGCTTCAGTTGGCAATAGAGATCAGTGGAAAAATAATGGGAGCGCGGGGCTTAATGGGAATGCGAATTAATTGCAATCGCGCGCACGGATGACGGACTGTGGAAGAGTCATGCATAGGTAATCATGCGATGGCGAGTACAACCAGGAAGAGGTTATTTCGCTGGCCTCAAAGTGACAAAACGTAACCAAGCAACTGTTTTGCAAACACTAACCCTATTCCAAACACCAACTCTAACCCTAATCCTAACCCCAACCCTATTCCTAACCTAACCTTACTCCAAGTTTGTTTCTAAACCAATCTTGAAGCAAAAAGTTTTGACCAAATGTCATTCTGAGGTCAGCGAAATGGTATTTTCCGTACAAACAGACACGATACTAAAATGCGGTGCCCGCCTACAAATAAAACGTCCAGCGTTTCCGCGTACATGCACAAGTAAAGTTATATTTAGCACGCTACACATTCTCCTGTCGGCCGCCAGTTGGTCCGTACGTTAGTATCAAAACTGCGTTTTAAAGCCTTCAAAATAAAATATTTTGAGCTCAAAATACTATCAAAATGAGGAGAAAAGTAAGACGAATCCACTGGCATACGGCCGAAAACAAGAAAACCAACAATTCCGAAGTTATCAACGATCAAACGGACTGCATTTTTAATTAGTTTAATAATTTTGAGCGATTTGTCAACAATACAATTTCGCTTATTAAAACTGCACATTAAAAGCTTCAAAATATAATATTTTGGGCTCAAACTACTAACAAAATAAAGAGAAAAGTGAGACGAGTCCACTGATATACGGCCAAAAAAGAGAAAACCAACAATACGAAAGCTATCAAGATCAAATGTATTGCATTTTTAATTAGTTTAATCATTTTGAGCGATTTGTGAACAATACAATTTCGCTTGTCTTTCGAAGGCCATAAATCGCTAGAATACTGTTGTTTCGTAATACATTTGACATCTGTGAGTATAATTTCTTACGCTGAATCGAACGGTGGTATTTTTGTCCTTACTGGGCGCATAAAACCGAAAAGTCAATCGTGAGAGTCCGAGATTAATTTGAAAGAAAACTTTCCTCGAAAAAAGGAATTCGGAAAACGTGAAGGATTATTTTGAGCGGCTTGTCTTTCAAAGGCCATAAATCGCAAGAATAGAAATCGATTTTGAAATCAATTTTCCATCCAAGTTTTCACGCTGATACGAACAGTAGTATTTATGTCTTTGTTTGACGCATAAAACCAGAGATAAAGCCTAGCAAGTAGTCGATCTTGAGAGTACAAGATTAATAACAATTAATAAATTCCGAGCACGTGCAAGGAATTTTTAGTAGGCGATTAAGGAAACGCATTGATGCGAACACACTAACAAACGGACAAACAAACGGACAAACAAACGGACAAACTCACAGGCAGAATATAATGCGGTGCCAAAAATGACACGGGTACCGCAATTAGGGATTAGTACGAGTGATGTTTGGAATTTTTTTCCGAAATTGGACGAGCCGCTGTACGTACTTGTTTATTATTAGCATGACAAAATTGGATACTTCTCAATGTCAACATCATATTCTCTCGCCAAAGCCCAGTCCTGCCAGACTTTTGTTCGTAATTTCATTTAGTTCTTTTGTTAAAGCAAAATCTGGTCCCTTTGTTTGTATTTTCATCTAGTTCCTCTAGGGCAATTTCATTTCACATTTGTGTTTAATTAAAATCCCTTTCCGCCAGTTCGTTTGTTTTGAGAAAATCATTAATTGTACTGCAGTACAATTAATGAAATAATTGTACTCCTCTCAACCAATCAGCATCCAGCAATTTTGTCATGCTAATAATAAAATCAGTTAATAACGTATGCATTCCAATGCAATTTTTGAATTTTTGAGCCGAAAGTGGTTATTTTTACCTCGCGTAATACAAATATATACTAAATATATACAAAATTTGCGGGCTATATTTTCTTCATTTTACAACATCTTTGTAGTTTTACTCATTTTAAGACGCCCTTCCTATATAGCTGTGGTGTTGGGTTTTCGTGCTTCTTGCCTTGATCAAAATTTAGTTGATAGCTAGAACATCCATTGCATATACATTATTAATATTATTTAGTATAATTACATAGGTGATTATTGAAAATTCTCTACGCTGATTGGTTGCCGTTGAGGTGATTATTACGCGATAATCACCTAAGCGATTTTCAAAATGGCGGTCGAAGCCGTTTTGTCAATTAAATGACGAAGAAATGTGCATTTTTAAATTTTTTCCCCAAATAATCACCTATGAAATTATACTAAAACAATTATTCGCCTCAGGCTCGGTGATTATCGTGAATAAAAACCTCGACTTCGTCTCGGTTTTTATTCACCGAAAATCACCTCGCCTTCGGCGAATAATTGTTAAATATATATACGGTTTCAAATACTTAACGTTTCGAGAATTTCGCAATAATTTTTTATCAGTTTTTTAAATCCAATAATTTTTTTTTGGGGGGGGGGAGAAAGCTATCCCGCCCCTGTGATGTATACGATTCTGACCTTTCAAGTAAAAAATAATCTAGTTTAGACTGAGAAACGATAGGGATACTTAGACTTGAAATAATCATAGAAAACGTGGCTGTGGGTAAACATGCTCGATTGCATAAGTCAGAAAGTGCCTTTCAAATTTAGTGAAGAATGCTTTATTGACTAGAAGTTACTATCGCAAGGAAAATGCTGCCTCACCCTCAAAGGATTGCGTATAAGGGGTTGTTTATATGATATCGCTTTGCCAGGACGAGATAGGAGGCAGGATGATTTCGATATATTGAAATAAGTCCCGTTGCGTGATGCAGCAAAACACTTCATTAGTTTCTAGAGATGGATTATACAGTAAACGAAACGTTGTTCAAGCAGAAATAATAATCTTCTTGAACTACAAGATTTTCTCTACAACATTTGAGTTCTGTTAAATAAACCAACAGTTAAACTTTTGTTTACTAAATAGCCTAGTGACTTATTTGAATACATCAAAATCATCTTCCATCATACAAACAGCCCCTAG